GTTCTAGTTCAGTTCTAGTTCAGTTCTAGTTCAGTTCTAGTTCAGTTCTAGTTCAGTTCTAGTTCAGTTCTAGTTCAGTTCTAGTTCAGTTCTTAGTTCAGTTCTAGTTCAGTTCTAGTTCAGTGCTAGTTCAGTGCTAGTTCAGTGCTAGTCAGTTCTAGTTCAGTTCTAGTTCAGTTCTAGTTCAGTTCTAGTTCAGTTCTAGTTCAGTTCTAGTTCAGTTCTAGTTCAGTTCTAGTTTCAGTTCTAGTTCAGTTCTAGTTCAGTTCTAGTTCAGTTCTAGTTCAGTTCTAGTCAGTTCTAGTTCAGTTCTAGTTCAGTTCGAGTTCAGTTCTAGTTCAGTTCTAGTTCAGTTCTAGTTCAGTTCTAGTTCAGTTCTAGTTCAGTTCTAGTTCAGTTCTAGTTCAGTTCTAGTTCAGTTCTAGTTCAGTTCTAGTTCAGTTCTAGTTCAGTTCTAGTTCGGTTCTAGTTCAGTTCTAGTTCTAGTTCAGTTCTAGTTCAGTACTAGTTCAGTTCTAGTTCAGTTCTAATTCAGTTCTAGTTCAGTTCTTGTTCAGTTCTAGTTCAGTGCTAGTTCAGTTCTAGTTCAGTTCTAGTTCAGTTCTAGTTCAGTTCTAGTTCAGTTCTAGTTCAGTTCTAGTACAGTTCTAGTTCAGTTCTAGTTCAGTTCTAGTTCAGTTCTAGTTCAGTTCTAGTTCAGTTCTAGTTCAGTTCTAGTTCAGTTCTAGTTCAGTTCTAGTTCAGTTCTAGTTCAGTTCTAGTTCAGTTCTAGTTCAGTTCTAGTTCAGTTCTAGTTCAGTTCTAGTTCAGTTCTAGTTCAGTTCTAGTTCAGTTCTAGTTCAGTTCTAGTTCAGTTCTAGTTCAGTTCTAGTTCAGTTCTAGTTCAGTTCTAGTTCAGTTCTAGTTCAGTTCTAGTTCAGTTCTAGTTCAGTTCTAGTTCAGTTCTAGTTCTGTTCTAGTTCAGTTCTAGTTCAGTTCTAGTTCAGTTCTAGTTTAGTTCAGTTCTAGTTCAGTTCTAGTTCAGTTCTAGTTCAGTTCTAGTTCAGTTCTAGTTCAGTTCTAGTTCAGTTCTAGTTCAGTTCTAGTTCAGTTCTAGTTCAGTTCTAGTTCAGTTCTAGTTCAGTTCTAGTTCAGTTCTAGTTCAGTTCTAGTTCAGTTCTAGTTCAGTTCTAGTTCTGTTCTAGTTCAGTTCTAGTTCAGTTCTAGTTCAGTTCTAGTATAGTTCTAGTTTAGTTCTAGTTAAGTTCTAGTTCAGTTCTAGTTCAGTTCTAGTATAGTTCTAGTTCTGCAGTTTCGAGAATTCTAGTTTTGCAGTTCTAGAAATTTACAAATATCAGCAAATTAATGTATTTACAATACTTTAGAATTCAAGATTACAATTTAACTGAGTAATTGTCTTAGTATTTTCTTTTTTAGCCCGTTTTCATAAATATGTATTTTTAAATTCTGTTTTCCACCATAAATCTTTTCCAAACAATAAAAGAAATTTAAAAACACATTAGAAAAACCAAAAGACCATAATTCTGTCATTCATGTTAGAGGTTTCCAACAAGCTTAAACTAATATTATTGATTTTCTGGTTAGTGCTTTGGAAAAAAATACTAAATATAATTTTTAAAATTTTTAATTTTCTTACAGAATAAGCCTATCAATGTCATGAATTCCTTAAATAACGACTGTCTTATAGAAATTGTAAAATTTCTCAATTTAAAAGATCAAATAACGCTGCATCAAGTGAACAACAGTCTGCAGGTGGCAGTAACAACTCTATGGCTGCTGAAATACAAACATGTCCATATAAACTTTTTGGAAGTGGCCTTAAGCAATCAAGAATTTCGGATATTTTTAAAAACTATACAAGACATAGTGGAAGTTTTACAATTGAGATTTTTAACTCAAGATAAATATGAAATAATGAAAGAGTTTTGCTTTCCACGAGTGAATAATTTTCGTTTTACCCTTAGCAAACCGTACTTCATGGAAGACAGTGATATAAAAGACTTGAAACAGATTTTGCCAAATCTAAATGCATTTAGTCCACATGGTAATCTAACCGGCCTCTATATGGATGAGTGGACCTCATTAAAAGATCTCAATTTAAGTTTTTGTTTTAAACTTGAAATGTTACACTTTCAGACCATCATTAATAAACTCAAATTGGAAAAATTAAAACTGAATGTATTTCCCAATAACAATCAATTTGAACAGATGAATTTGGTGGATGCTCAAGTGGAAAATATAAAATATTTGGAATTAAATACCTATGAATTTTATTACTTCCTGGCAAAGCCTCTAAGGGCACTCAAAGAATTAGTCATAACCAATCATTATAATCCAAGGCAATTGTTTGATGTTTTACTCTCCATTTGGGAGGCGAAAGAAATACGTCTAGTGGAAACCGCTAATGTTGATAATATTCTAGTCAATTGTTTGGAAATGCATATGAATGTAGAAGAGTTGACGATAGTCAATGATGAAAATCCTTTACCCGCCAATACTATAACCGCCCTCCATCTATTGACTAACCTGCGTAAATTACGCTTTAAAAAGCTGTGTAATAAAATCAAATAATTTTATAAATCTTCTTAAGAATACTCCTCAGTTACATGAAATCAGTTTTGAACATTGTCAATTCGATGTGGCCAATATCTGTGTGAAAGTGGAGGAAATAGCTGTAAATCGAACGGGAAAATTAAGACTAAATATGTTAGAGAATAGACTGATGGATAATTTAGATCGACCAACTTGGTGCAGGGGAATAGAAGAGGTAAGAATTAGATATAGTTTTTTTTTTCAAAAATCAATTCATTTTAAATATTGTATCCACATTTTTAGATGGTGTATATTTTAGTGGATGTACTCGGTGATCATAATTTACTGGAGTTGACCCATTTAAAGGGAGAAGATTTATGCTATGAACCATTACATGTTGTATTTCGATAAATGTATTTCATTTCAATGCAGGTTGTTAATAAAATATTAATTTCTTGTATGTATGTATATTATATTTTTTGAAAAAGAAAACTCGCGCATAATATGTGATCCTGTGTATTAGAATATCCAGAAAAAATTAGACTATTTTAATTCTAGTTCACTTCCAGTTCTATTTGAATTCCAGTTCAATTGTCGTTCAGTTCTAGTTAACTTCTGATTGTCCAGTTCTAGCTCAGTTTCTATTCAGTGCTATTTCAGTTCCAGTTCAGTTATAGCTTATTTCTTGTTCGGTTCCAGTTTATAACTGGTTCAGTTTTAGTTAAGTTCTAGTTCAGTTCTATTTCGACTTCAGTTAGGTTCGGATTGTACAGTTCAATTGTAGCTCAGATTCTATTCTAATAGGGTTCAATTTTATTTTATTTCCAGTATACTTCTAGGTTAATTCTTATTCGATTCAGGTTTAGATCTAGTTCAGTTCTAGTTCAGTTCTAGTTCAGTTCTGTTCTAGTTCAGTTCTAGTTTAGTTCTAGTTTAGTTCTAGTTCAGTTCTAGTTCTAGTTCAGTTCTAGTTCTAGTTCAGTTCTAGTTCAGTTCTAGTTCAGTTCTAGTTCAGTTCTAGTTCAGTTCTAGTTCAGTTCTAGTTCAGTTCTAGTTCAGTTCTAGTTCAGTTCTAGTTCAGTTCTAGTTCAGTTCTAGTTCAGTTCCAGTTCAGTTCTAGTTCAGTTCTAGTTCAGTTCTAGTTCAGTTCTAGTTCAGTTTTAGTTCAGTTCTAGTTCAGTTCTAGTTCAATTCTAGTTCAGTTCTAGTTCAGTTCTAGTTCAGTTCTAGTTCAGTTCTAGTTCAGTTCTAGTTCAGTTCTAGTTCAGTTCTAGTTCAGTTCTAGTTCAGTTCTAGTTCAGTTCTAGTTCAGTTCTAGTTCACATCTAGTTCAGTTCTAGTTCAGTTCTAGTTCAGTTCTAGTTCAGTTCTAGTTCAGTTCTAGTTCAGTTCTAGTTCGGTTCTAGTCAGTTCTAATTCAGATCTGGTTCAGATCTAGTTCAGTTCCAATTCAGTTCTAGTTCAGTTCTAGTTCAGTTCTAGTTCAGTTCTAGTTCAGTTCTAGTTCAGTTCTAGTTCAGTTCTAGTTCAGTTCTAGTTCAGTTCTAGTTCAGTTCTAGTTCAGTTCTAGTTCAGTTCCAATTCAGTTCTAGTTCAGTTCTAGTTCAGTTCTAGTTCAGTTCTAGTTCAGTTCTAGTTCAGCTCTAGTTCAGTTCTAGTTCAGTTCTAGTTCAGTTCTAGTTCGGTTCTAGTCAGTTCTAATTCAGATCTGGTTCAGATCTAGTTCAGTTGTAGTTCAGTTCTAATTCAGTTCTAGTTCAGTTCTAGTTAAGTTTTAGTTCAGTTCTAGTTCAGTTCTAGTTCAGTTCTAGTTCAGTTCTAGTTCAGTTCTAGTTCAGTTCTAGTTCAGTTCTAGTTCAGTTCTAGTTCAGTTCTAGTTCAGTTCTAGTTCAGTTCTAGTTCAGTTCTAGTTCAGTTCTAGTTCTAGTTCAGTTCTAGTTCAGTTCTAGTTTCAGTTCTAGTTCAGTTCTGGTTCAGTTCAGTTCAGTTCTAGTTCAGTTCTAGTTAAGTTTTAGTTCAATTCTAGTTCAGTTCTAGTTCAGTTCTAGTTCAATTCTAGTTCAGTTCTAGTTTAGTTCTAGTTCAGTTCTAGTACAGTTCTAGTTTAGTTCTGTTCAATCGAGTTCATTTCTTGTTTAGTTCCAGTTCAGCTATAGTTTAGTTCTAATTAAGATCAAGTTAAGTTCTGCTTTAGTTCAAGTACATTTCATGTTTAGTTCTAGTTAATTGTCCAGTTCACTTCATGTTCAGGTCTAGTTCTACTTCAGGTCTACTTGTAGTTTAGTTCTATTTAAGTTCTATTTTCGTTATGTTCTAATTAACTAGTTTTAGTACGATTCTAGTTCAATTGAAGTTCAAATCAAGTACAGTTCTGGTTCAGTTCTACGCATTTAATCGGTAATAAATTAAACAAATATTCACTTTTATAACAATATTAAAATCTATTATAAAAATAATTTAACCGCTTAAATACATCACAACTAATGAAAAAATAATCCTTTCAATATCGACATAAATCATTAAATGTACTTTCAACATTTGCCTGCATACAATCCTCTATTTTAATTCGAAATATGGCCAACTGTATAAATTGCCAGATATGAAGACACATTCTTGGATATTCGACATTTAAAGCTATTTTATAATGAAAAGCCAAATTTAAGGCTTCCAATACGTCCACACATTTAAAGATTTGGCCACATATTTTAAACTCGGCATATGTAATCTGTGGTGGGCAATGAACAAAACGTATTTGTAATTCAGCACATTCAATATCAGATTTTAAAGCATCCAGCGTCTATATAATTAAAAGATCAATTTATAAAAATACTAAATTATTTAAAATATTGTTTAAACAATTCACCTCATACTCTTTAATGAATCTTTGTTGTACATCATATTTAGTAGCTTTCCCTTTACGGATTTCATTATGTCTGGCATTATGAAGAAATATATAGGGAACGATTAATAAAGCTAAACTGGCACGGTACTCTAAAAAACGATACAAATTATAAATATTTTGTTAATTAAAGGTCATGGAAAGCATACTTACTTTCATCATTTGAATTATCAATATTTTCCAAAATTGTTGCCATTATCTCCACCTTGCGTAATGTGCGTCCTTTATCGACAATTTTATTATACAATGAAAACCAATTATTGATTTTCAGCACTTTGGGATGCATAATTTTAACATCGATTTTCATTAATTCAATTGCTCTATAAGACATTAATATTGAATATTTATTCAAATAGTCATGTGGTTGCAATTTTTCTTTTATAAGCTCCTGCCTTCTTTTTCGATGAGTTTCTCTCCATTTTTGTTTGATAGTATCCCAGTCAAGTGTCGAATTTAAAGAAAAATCAATACTTTCTAAAGTATTATCCACAGCATAGACTTTATCATCTGTTCTATCGCTCTCTCCATCCGATTGATGTTTGCGTTTGTTGCGTCGTTCCAATACACCAGAACTGGCCAGTAATCTTCGTTTATTATAATAAGCATTGCATAATTTACCACGAGCATTATGATTGGGCTGCGCTGGTATGAAATATGTGGATTCGACTTCATTGGGAAAAGCACAAACCAGATTTCGTGTTAGTGTAATGAAATCCTGGCGCTTAAGTCTGGAAAATATTAAAAATTTTACTAACTTTTATTATTAACTTATGTTCTCACTTACATTCTTTCAGGTTGAAAATTTAAACATTCATCCACTATGGCTTTGGCAATGGTAGCACGATGTCGATTTTCCAACATTTTACCATCATCCGAGATTTTGACAATGGGCAATAACGTTGGTATATTACGTATATCATTGGCACTTGGCAAATAATTATGGATGACTTGTACGGTAGACATATTATTTGGGGTATTACTGCCATGGGAGAATGTGTATGCAGTGTTGGATTGGACAAATGAATTTGATGCTGCTTGAAAATTGTCCAAATCTTTGGTTTTAGTAAGCTGAACAGGCACGACTGAAATACATTTTTGAAAATTAAATTATATTTATGATTTTATTTGTTAAGATGTAGTTTAGTTCCAGTTCAGTTCTAGTTCAGTTCTAGTTCAGTTCTAGTTCAGTTCTAGTTCAGTTCCAGTTCAGTTCTAGTTCAGTTCTAGTTCAGTTCTAGTTCAGTTCTAGTTCAGTTCTAGTTCAGTTGTAGTTCAGTTGTAGTTCAGTTGTAGTTCAGTTCTAGTTCAGTTCTAGTTCAGTTCTAGTTCAGTTCTAGTTCAGTTCTAGTTCAGTTCTAGTTCAGTTCTAGTTCAGTTCTAGTTCAGTTCTAGTTCAGTTCTAGTTCAGTTCTAGTTCAGTTCTAGTTCAGTTCTAGTTCAGTTCTAGTTCAGTTCTAGTTCAGTTCTAGTTCAGTTCTAGTTCAGTTCTAGTTCAGTTCTAGTTCAGTTCTAGTTCAGTTCTAGTTCAGTACTACTTCAGTTCTAGTTCAGTTCTAGTTCAGTTCTAGTTCAGTTCTAGTTCAGTTCTAGTTCAGTTCTAGTTCAGTTCTAGTTCAGTTCTAGTTCAGTTCTAGTTCAGTTCTAGTTCAGTTCTAGTTCAGTTCTAGTTCAGTTCTAGTTCAGTTCTAGTTCAGTTCTAGTTCAGTTCTAGTTCAGTTCTAGTTCAGTTCTAGTTCAGTTCTAGTTCAGTTCTAGTTCAGTTCTAGTTCAGTTCTAGTTCAGTTCTAGTTCAGTTCTAGTTCAGTTCTAGTTCAGTTCTAGTTCAGTTCTAGTTCAGTTCTAGTTCAGTTCTAGTTCAGTTCTAGTTCAGTTCTAGTTCAGTTCTAGTTCAGTTCTAGTTTCAGTTCTAGTTCAGTTCTAGTTCAGTTCTAGTTCAGTTCTAGTTCAGTTCTAGTTCAGTTCTAGTTCAGTTCTAGTTCAGTTCTAGTTCAGTTCTAGTTCAGTTCTAGTTCAGTTCTAGTTCAGTTCTAGTTCAGTTCTAGTTCAGTTCTAGTTCTAGTTCAGTTCTAGTTCAGTTCTAGTTCAGTTCTAGTTCAGTACTAGTTCAGTTCTAGTTCAGTTCTAGTTCAGTTTCTAGTTCAGTTCTAGTTCAGTTCTAGTTCAGTTCTAGTTCAGTTCTAGTTCAGTTCTAGTTCAGTTCTAGTTCAGTTCTAGTTCAGTTCTAGTTCAGTTCTAGTTCAGTTCTAGTTCAGTTCTAGTTCAGTTCTAGTTCAGTTCTAGTTCAGTTCTAGTTCAGTTCTAGTTCAGTTCTAGTTCAGTTCTAGTTCAGTTCTAGTTCAGTTCTAGTTCAGTTCTAGTTCAGTTCTAGTTCAGTTCTAGTTCAGTTCTAGTTCAGTTCTAGTTCAGTTCTAGTTCAGTTCTAGTTCAGTTCTAGTTCAGTTCTAGTTCAGTTCTAGTTCAGTTCTAGTTCAGTTCTAGTTCAGTTCTAGTTCAGTTCTAGTTCAGTTCTAGTTCGGTTCTAGTTCAGTTCTAGTTCAGTTCTAGTTCAGTTCTAGTTCAGTTCTAGTTCAGTTCAAGTTCAGTTCTAGTTCAGTTCTAGTTCAGTTCTAGTTCAGTTCTAGTTCAGTTCTAGTTCAGTTCTAGTTCAGTTCTAGTTCAGTTCTAGTTCAGTTCAAGTTCAGTTCTAGTTCAGTTCTAGTTCAGTTCTAGTTCAGTTTCTAGTTCAGTTCTAGTTCAGTTCTAGTTCAGTTCTAGTTCAGTTCTAGTTCAGTTCTAGTTCAGTTCTAGTTCAGTTCTAGTTCAGTTCTAGTTCAGTTCTAGTTCAGTTCTAGTTCAGTTCTAGTTCAGTTCTAGTTCAGTTCTAGTTCAGTTCTAGTTCAGTTCTAGTTCAGTTCTAGTTCAGTTCTAGTTCAGTTCTAGTTCAGTTCTAGTGCAGTTCTAGTTCAGTTCTAGTTCAGTTCTAGTTCAGTTCTAATTCTGTTCTAGTTCAGTTCTAGAACTTTTCTATTTCAGTTTTTGTTCAGTTCTAGTTCTTAACCTGACTATGGATGTAGTTTTAAACCAATTATTACCTTTCTCCTTTAATTCAATATTGAAGGTGAGCAAATTATAGTATTGTAGTATAATATTTCTAAAATCCTCCGCCAGAATTTCACAACCATTTATCGCAATATAGAAATCGTTTTTGTTAGTTATGTTAAATGCTAAGCATGCTAAAATAAACAGTTGAGATTAATATTATTGAAAATTTTTATTAAAAAATACTTACCGGATAAGAAAAAATCTTGATACAAATATGGCTCAAAAATTTTGATAAACTTTTTACAGCCATTCCACATAGTCTGTATTAAAACTCTGAAAGAAAATATCAGTACATACGATTATCTATAATTTAATCATTGATCTTTAAGTTAAAAACTATTTTTAGATTAACTAATCTGATTATTAACTACCGTTTGATGTTAGTAATCATGATTTGAAAACGTATCTTAATTTTACTTACTGAGTTGGCTTATCAGTGTCAGCAGTATCCTCAACATAATTATCGGGTGCTATTATTAAGCATTGACTTTGTTCTTGGTCCATATTAAAAGTTGAATTGTTTAAAGAAATTTGCGACGTTTTATTATTATTACGCTGTGTACATTTTGTAAGTATTTCTTCTTGTTCAGTAAGGTTAACATCATTATTAAGGGAATTAATAGTTTGTTTAGATTGTATTGCCGTTGAGTGAGCTTTTTTGGACAATTCTTTAATATATAGATTTCTATCACTATCGAAGTGATTTTTCAGAGGTTTGCCTTTCTTATGCCGCCATTGTGCTAATTTGTGTTCAAAAACGTATTTGTGTACCCAAGGGGAATTTGAAAAGTAGTGATTTTATATGAGATATTTTCATAATTTCCATGATTTCAATAGTAATGTTTTCCGCTGAAAAAGAATGATTGTAAATTTATTTTTTTTTTGTGTATTATTTAATATAAATATTTTTAAGCCTTTTTAAGGGTTAAATACACTATATAATAAAATGAATCAAATATGGCAACCTCATGTTATCTACTTTATTCACACATGTTTGCTGCAACCAAAGAAAACGTAAGGCAAACAAAACAAACGAAAAATAAATAATACTTAACTTACCAATTAAATGGCTTAAAATATTTTCCAAATTCCATGCGACCAACAATTCCTTTAAGTCATCTTCATCAGACGACTTCGGCATTTTCCCTTAATATGTATTAAATTACTGAAATCCCGTTTACTTTTTGTAAAATAAAATACAAAATGTATTGCGGTTATTTAAGAAAATAAATTTATTTTGTAAGCACAACTGAATTCTTCCACCACAAATAACTTTTATATTGCACACCAAAATATGTTTGCGTGAATTATACGTTTCGTAAAATGTGATTTCTTTTAATCTTTAGTTAATTTTTTAACGCTCTCATTTTTTTCTCTTACTAGCCTTTTATAATCTCTT